GGCCCAACTAAGATCAAATGGTCAGACTGGTCAGGGTGAGCACCCTTTCCAGTTTGGGCAGTGGCGTCCATCTTCGCCTTGCCCTTATCTGTGGCCCCCTTTGGGGACCCGGGTGCCTGGAGAGGGCCTTTGCCCTTTCCCTTCGGTTCCCTCCGACTGTCGGAGGGTCCCGGCTGGGCCGTACGACGGCGCTGAGGCAGAGAGGGACGTGGCTTATTGCCACTAATATAGCAGTCGGCCGCAATATGACCAACATGTTTGCACGCAGTACAGAAAGCGGGGATCTTCTCGTAGATCACCCGCTGAGCAAAGGACTCGGAGCCCTGTTCAATCTCGATCTCATGAACGAGCTCCGTTCTGAGATCTATCTCGACACAAAATCGCGCCACTCTAACCCTCGTCTGAAGGGCCGTGTGGGCGTCAATACGAATCGGCTGCCCAATACACTTAGCAAGTGTAGTGATGGCAGCACGGTCGTAGAGGTGGGGTGGGAGGCCCGGAAGACGGCACCAAACAGGGACAATCGGCGCCTCCGTCTTTGGGTTAAACCCGACATAATATTTGAATACCCTAGCTGGGCATCCACACAGATGAATCAAGGTCTTAAGCCAGACCTCATTATAATCCTCAATGAGGTGGAAGGTCACTAGAAGGTGGTTAAAGTTGAACCACTTCGATGATACACTACCCTTAAAACCCAATTTCCTTAATCCAGCAGATATATCTCGAGGGGCGGGGATAGCATATGAGAACTTAAATACCAGGGTGTTATCTAGTTTACCTGACAGGTCGCCAGATTCAGCGTCGGAGAAGCGGGCCTTCACTTTGTTCCCCTCCGAGCGGATGATGGTGCCGCAAGCATGTTCGTAATTCCCGTCGAATGGGAAATCTTTCGGTGTTGGGTTCGGGGAGCTCGAGCCTCCATTTTTCGACCGCGTGGCATTCGGACTACCAACTCTCTTCCCCGAAACAACATCCCGGAATGAAGGTTGGCCAGTGGGTGGTTCTGTAGTTGGCCCGGTTGTTGTGAGATTGGCCGTGGAGGCGTCTTTTGGTTGTGGCCCGGTTGGGGAATGTCCGGTGGGTTGAGCCGCAGCCGCTGAGCTTGGCTTTGTAACGACTACCCTATCCTCTCGTACATTTAAAACGTTCAGCTCCATGTCATCGGTTAGAGGAGGAGGAAGTCCCTGGAGAGAACCGTCCATCTTGGATGTGGGCAGTGTTGGTCCGGTAGTAGCGGGGTTGGACGTGGCGGGGTCCGTTGGCAAGGGCTTCGGGCCTGTATTCACCACGCCATCCTCACAAACATATAAGACGACCGGGTCAAGATCTCCGGAAGTTAGGATGGAACTTCCGGCAAGTTGCTCTTTTGGATGAATTGGTGTGGTGTTCTGCTGGACGGGGCTAGCCGGGATAGAGGTCCCGTTGGTTGCCGGAAAGTCGGAATGTGGCATCTTGTCGGGAGTGGCTGCAGAATGGGCTGAGAAGGTGGGCTGGAGAGTTGCAGGTTGAAGTTGAGTGGATGTGGGTTGAAAGGTGATAGGAGCTGGCCCAAAATTGGCAGCCTGTGAGGGTTGAAAAGAGATAGGCGGGCTAATAGGAAATGGTGGCCCAAAATGATGATTTGTGTGGGAGGGCCCAAGGACTTGAGAGTTGGGCTGTTTTAAAAATGATGTTGTTGGGCTGTGAGGAGGCCCAATATCATCAATGGCCAACACTAACCTGGAGGGATCCGGCCCGTTTGCGTGATCTGTGAGCTGAGGGGGAGCCGACACTTCTTCCACTTGACCATGGAGCAAATGGCTAGTGTGGACGCTACCATTGTGTAGTTGCAACAGCTGATTGACCGATTTCACCGGCGATAACAGAGATTCTTGTCGAAGAGAGACCGGTAGCCTCCCGATTCGAACCTCTGACCTTAATTCAGCTGTGGAGTTGTTCGGTTGTTGAAATGTCAGAGCATGAAAACCTGGGGTTTCTTGCGATTTGTTGCTTGAAAAAACACCCACAGGTCCATAAGCTTCTATCGATTCCGGAAATAACGCGTGAACAGGCAAACCTTTAGCTTCTTCTTAAATGGATCTGAAATTTTTTGTGTTGAATTCTGGATATGCGAATGCCTGGCTGATATCAGGTAGGTTTGATATGGACGATTGATGGTTTGAGTTGGTCGAGTGAGGTTCGGTGTGTGGCTGCTGAACCGGCAACGCCGGGGTCGACGCCGGTAAGGCGGTTGTCGACATGTCTAGGCGGTGGCCGGCAATGAGAAAGAAATGGACGGTAGAGAGAGAAACCTAGAGAGAAGGGAGAGCATTTTGCTATGTTGTGTCTGTTTTTTGCTGTCTGTTTGTGCTAGGTTAGTAGTGTCTTGTTGCTAGGTTAGTTATATGTTTCTGCTAGGTTAGTTGTCTGATGGTGCTAGTTTAGGTCTGTGTTCTTGTAACACCCCATTTTGATTTTAAAGAAATTCCGAATTTTTCAAAAAGCAGTAAATAATTTTTCGAACTCATTTTCGAAAACATGGGCGTTATTCATACATTTAACATCAACCAAGTCATATTTGGTTGTTCGAGGATTCATTACCCGGTTTTCACATGGTTTTCATTAACCCCTTAAAACATCAATTTCACATGATTATTAGCTAAACATCATAGCATACATAATCGAACGCATAATATTCAAAAAGCAAATCCAATATGAATATCCCAATGAAACATTGGTCCAATAATCCCAAAAACTGTAAGTTTTGAAAATGGTTCAACACGTCTCAACTAAAATAGGTTCACAAGGACCACACATTATTCATAAACGGAAGCATGATAATAGAGCATAATAAAAAGACCGACCCACTCGTCTTTCGTTGTCACTCGGCACCTGCTTAACCTGCATCCGTGAAGAGCAGGTGGGGATGAGCACAAGATGAAAATGCGTGCTCACCACTATGCACGTATATCACAATAATAAATAATATAAAGGAGGTATGGTTGCAGCATGAACATAAATCAATTATTATGTCACGTCTCTTAATCACATCACAACATATTACCCACGTGAACACATCTTTCATTAGCTATGGAAAGGGAATTCATTACCCTAACTCATGTGGGTGCATGCCATACAACAAGACACGACCTTTCATTAGGTCTTACGGAGACTTACCTCGCAAGGGTAACCGTATTACATCGACGGGGACAACCGTACCGACAGCCGAATTGGCTCACGCCGATAAGCTACATGGTTACATGCATACTTAAATCATACCAACCCAACATTAAAGTAAACACATACGGCATAGCAAATGTTATAAGTAAACCCACCTGGTACAGCAAGGGAAATAGCACACAACCAGGAGTAGGCAGCGAGCACGACTCGTCAAACACCTACAACAGTTAATACACTAAGATCAACACCTATTTGACCTTAGAGAACAAACACAATCATACATTGGTCGAACTTGATTCAACCAAGTAGTTCGTGAAGTTCTGTGGACATTGGAACACTCGGACCTAACACTTAGACTCGACAAAAGCGCATATAAATACCACATATAAACTTAGCACGCAAAACAAGGTCAAATGAGTCAACACATTTACGGTTTCGAAAGAAAACAAGGAAGGCTTGGGATGGGCCCGAACTGCTTGCTGGCCTGGTCTGGGCACGACTGGGCGCAGTCGGGGTGCTGCGGGGCACTGTCAAGCTTAACGGGTGCGCTAGGGCGCTGTGTGATACGGAAGTGGATTTCAGCGTCGGCAGGTTGGACGGAGCAGGGTGCATGCGGGTGCACGGTGGACAAGCAACCCACGGGGATTGGTGGCACGCGCGAAGCACCGGGCGCAATGGGGAGCGCAGTAGGCAAGCGGCGCGCGGATGTTGGCGGGACGCGCTGTGAGTCATGCGGAGAGCAGGCGGAGCGCGTTGGGTGCGCGAGTGGAAGTGACGCGGGCGGTGTCCTCGACCGAGCGGGCATAGGAGTATCGAGCGACGGCGCACACACGCGCAAGGGGGTCGGCAGCCAGCAGGCGCGCGAAAGGGGCGGCGCGTGGGAAGCCAGAACGCGTAGCCTAATACGAGGAGGACTAGGCGAGAGTAAGGCGGTACGAGCGACGGTGCGGGACAAGGCGTACGAGTGAAGCCGCGCACGACTAGGAGAAGGAGTCCGAGGCGGTGATGCATATAGAAGGCGACCAAGGGTTTTTAAACATGCGAATGACTTGGGGCTCAAGTAGTTTAGAGTGCAAGTCAAGTATTTTTGAGTTATAGTAATATTAGGATTTTATTGTTTTCTAGTATTAGGATTTCTATTATTGCACGATTTAGGAGATCTAGTTTATTTAGGCTTAGATTTATTTTACGCATCTATAAATACCCATGTAACTCTTCATTATTGAAGGTCTTGGAATTGATGAGTGAATAGAAAATGGGAACTTGGTGTTCTAACGTGTGTTAAGAAAGGCCGTAGTGCGTGTTTACATACAAGTGTCAGAAACAAGGTCATTAGTGCGTCTTGAAGTCACGGTGTCTAAGAGAAGGCCCTGAGTGCGTCTGCACGATGTCACCACAACGACGATCATTACCGCGACGAACGACGGGAAAAACGAACGTATGCACGACCCTAGATCATCATGCCCACGTTCACGGGAGTAGATCCGGATGCATGGTTGAGCCGGGAAACACAGTACTTTGAGATCAATGATGTGCCAAGGTACGAAAGAGTTTAATTTGTTGCTTATCATCTTGATGGAGAAGCAAACGTATGGTGGCAATGGATCTTCCACAAAAATCATGGCGAGCACATGCGATGGAGGGACTTTGAAAGGGAGCTCATTACAAGGTTTGGTTCTAGTGATTATTACGATTACGATGAAACTCTATCTAGAATTAAGCAAGTTGGTAGTTTGCGGGACTATCAAAGGGAATTGAGTGCATTGCTAGTAGGGTGAGGGATTGGCCCGAGAGTGCGCTAGTGGGGGCGTTTGTTGGAGGATTAAAAGGTGAGTTAGCGGCTGAGGTGAGAATGTACAGGCCGAGATCGATGCAAGCAGCCATGGAGTCGGCAAGGTTGCACGAGGATCATCTCGTAGCGGTACGGAAGGCGAGGCCGAGCGACATGCGCAGGGAGCCTAGGCGCAAGCACGTCGCGACCGATGAGCAGGTACCACGGTCCGAGAGCAAGCCAATGGGAGAGGTGGTGCGAACAACGAGCAATGTGCGACGACTTACGGACGACGAGATGCAGCGGCGAAGGGAAAACGCCTATGCTACACGTGCAATGAAAAATTCACGCCAGGCCACAAGTGCAAAGGTAAGGAGGTATTTTTGTTGGAATTTGAGGAGGAATGTGTTGGTGAGGAAGATAAGCCGCATGAGAAGTCTTTGTTGTATATGGTTAAGTGCAAGAAGCATGGTCCGAAGATGATCACATTCACAGCTGAGATTAGAGGTAAATTGGTGGAGGTGTTGGTTGGCAGCGGATCTACGCTGAACTTCATTGATGAGGAGCTATCCAAAGAGATCGAGATTCCATTCACAAAGGTTAAGCCTTTTGGAGTCAAAGTAGCCAACAGAGAAACATTTCGAGGGGATATTTTCTTCAAAGGTGCAAAATGAAAGCTCAAGGTCAGAAGATGAGAGTGAATCTGTATGCCTTGCCATTGAAGGCGACTGATATAGTACTTGGATGCCAGTGGTTGGAGACTCTTAGTCCAATCACGACTGATTATTGGAGAGGAACTATGGAGTTTGGGCGATCAAGTAAGTGGGTAAAGTTAATAACTGAGGATCCAGGCGAGTCACCTGACGAGGATGAAGATGATGGTCAAGTCTGAAAGCTGAATTTCATCATCCTTGGGGACAAGGAAAGTCATGAAGAGGAGGGGAATGATATGGAAGTAGAGATCAGCGTCGGCAAGCTTGGAGGGCTAAAACGCGTAGGGTGCGCATCGACCCATGATGCGCACGGTTGGACGGAGCAGGATGCATGCGGGTGCACAGTGGACAAGCAACCCACGGGGATTGGTGGCATGCGCGAAGCAGCGGGCGCAATGGGGAGTGCAGTAGGCAAGCGGCGCGCGGACGTTGGTGGTGTTGGAACCCACGAGGATCTCGATATGCACAAATCACAGACAAACATTCAACATAAACCTATGCGCAGCGGATCTAAAGGTTTGATGAAGAAAACTTACTGCTTAAAATTTATGTAGATCTGGCTGGCCCGGACAGTTGACCGCAAATCAAATCTTCTCGGAATCGAACAAACTTGACCAATCCGCAAAGCTGACATCACGGCGAAGTCATCGGCGTTGACCGATCGGAAATCGGAGTTCACACGCGCTCTCACGCGCTCCGACAAG